GGCGGCGGTCAGGCATACGACCGTTCAAGGGACTAGACGGCCGTGGTAGTGAATAATACTAGAAATAGGGCATAGTCTGCTGTACCGATCCTGGATTGACAGAGGACTTGTGTATATTGTACATAAAAGTAAGAAATAAGTGTGTATTGTAAATCTATGTAAATATAGACAGTGGACATATTAATACAGACTGACTGCCAAATGACAGATCCAACCTCTCGTCAGAGAGGGCGCCCCACATAGACAAGACAGTAACTTTCATTCAAAAGAAATATCTGGTCATGAGCCCCAAATGTGGCTCGACACCAAGACAGACAGACTGACTGACCGTCAGTTGTAACATGACCTTGACCCTGACCTTGATGTTCCCACAGCACCAACAACGACCTCTGGGAAGAAATCATTATGCTTTCTGTCCGGACAAATATATTGATATGGGCGAGAACTTTTAAACTGAATCTGAGGGTTAGAAGCAATACTGAGGGAACCCGAGAAGCGCAGTCGATATAGCGACACAGACAACTTCACCTTTTTTCTACAAACTTCATTGTCTTCTGGGAATCGCGTCGAGTAATTTGGTAAATTACACGGCGTCATTTTTTTATTTTAACCCTAAAGATGGATATAGCTGTTTCCTCTCAAACGTTAATGGAGGCTACAAGTTCCTCCATGCAGACATCTAACAGACTACACGGCTAACATCCCATGTTCTGCCCTGAAGAAGAAGGCCCCGAAACGTTTCCAGATACCTGTGAGACACCCCGCTCTTCTACAACGAAGATGGAAGACTGGAGATTCCTCCGAAACTAAACTACACAAGGTCACAATCAATAATCTATCCTGAAGAAGGAGGAAATAGATTCCTCCGAAACGCTGACACCTATGTACCAAGCAGCACGGCCTCACAATCCAAGAAGACGGCAGTCTTAATGAGAATCTCGCCGACTCGTGAGACGCAGTCTATACGGTCAGGGAAAGAGTGGCATACAGAACGACTTTAATGAAAGCCATGTCGCTCATTCGTGTTCGTTAACTTAAAATAAAGATTTAGGAATGTGTGACGTAGCAAGCGGCACGCACAACAGTTCGGGAGGTCTTGATGGCGAAGTCAGGTCGGTGTGCTGAGACAGAGAGAGAATGTTCACGCGGTGGATACTAACTTCGTAGTGCCCAGGACATCGGGTCATTCGAAATAATTCGAAAGGAATTTCTGCTTGGTTAATCTGGATGACTAATTTAGAAAGAGCAATTGATTAGATGTAACATCGGTCGGACTAGACGAAATTCGGTTAGGCAGTTCCAGATACATGATGTAATAATGAGATTTATTTTTTTTTCTGTAATAGGCCTATATTCAAAAGTTGGCACTAAACTTCGCTGACAAGCGGCAGTCGGTATAGTTCGCTTGCGGACTAAAATCACGGAGTTAAAATAGGCCTACATTACAAATACTGTAGGTAAACGCTGGCCAAGTTACTGACCACACGTCGGTCCAGGAGAAAGTGGATATACCATTTGAAAATTCTTACCATCCAATCCTTCCTCCTCTCACACCTCTACAGAGTAGAAATGGTTGCTAGGAAAAATCAGGAGTTGGGGGGGTTCTTTGTGCCACTGTAAAATTGCGGTGACGACAGCTATATGACGGTTTTGGGCATGGGTTGGGTGGCAGCAAAGCCCACAACTGGCTCTTCTTTTAGCCTTGGGGCGGAATGCACGGAAAATTCAGTCAATAACATTGTAACAGGTTTGGGCGACTGGAGGCGCCGTTTGGTCGGTAATTGTTATTAATATACTTAATTTGAACTTTACTTATGCTACTTTACGGAAGGGCCGTATTTGTAAATATAGTGTCCTACTTTGCCGAAAGTTGTGTCAAGACTCCTCGAGGTGGAATGTCCTCTCTCTGAATCCTGAGGTCCACGAACCCCAGACTCCAAGAGAAATCCACTCCTCCACTTCTGCCATTGGTTAAGTTTTCAAACTAGGAAGTTCCCTAAATTTTGAATTCCCAATCATGTTGCTCTGCTATGTGATTCTGGCAGATGCTGATCTGACGCTAAGGTCGACAGCCCCTTGATGCATTACGGTCAGGTTGTGAGGCTCCGGCCGTCCCACTTCTAAGTTATCGCTGTCCCAAACTGTCAGCTCTCATTTTCTCAAAGCCTTCCGACTTTGCTGAAACTGCCAGAATTCTAGGAAATTACCAGCTGTTGCTTCCTGTCCACATAGCAAAACTTGAACTATGTCCCTTCCGCGTGTAAGAGCTGGCTATCTGCCGGATCTCTTTGTTTGTAATCTTGTAATCTAACTTAATACAAATTTAATTTACACACAACAGTCCTCCAGTCAGAATGAACGGTTACAGTCGTTATGGAAAACGCTGCAAGGAAACACACTGAACATACCTCGTCCCAGGGCACTGCCAGATATTGAAGGGGAATTGCCATATGTTTTCGTAGCTGACGAAGCTTTTGCATTGCATAATAATTTACTTCGTCCGTATGGTGGCCGAGAACTTGACCACATTAAGCGAATTTTTAACTATCGCTTAACTAGAGCAAGACGATTTGTAGACTGTGCATTTGGTATGATGATAAATAAGTGGAGGATTTTTCACCGGCCTTTGAATGTCTCCACAGATTTTGCGACTGACATAGTAAAGGCTTGTTGTGTTTTTCAGAATTTCATCCATAAAGAAGAGGGACTTAATACTGTGTGTGCCGATACGACTATAGATGTGGACTCGGAACTAAGTGAACTCCCTCGCTCACAAGCAGTACGAGGTGGTTAGTCGGCGAACACTATCAGAAATAATTTCGCTAAGTACTTTGTTTCCGAAGATGGAAAAATTCCATGGCAGGATAAGTTCACTTAATGTATTAATGCATTATGTGCAGTAATGGAGATAAGCTACGAACTCAGCACTGCCATTGCCATAAATTCACTGTCTCAACTTCTTGTGAGAATCTTTATCATTAGTGAATATTTTGTTGGAAAATCATTGTTAGCAGTTTATTTGTTCAATGTGAAATTTTTAAATCACAAGTTAATTGCTAGATAATATCGTATCTGCGCATGGAGGATGTTTTGACAATACCGGTAATTTTTATGATATTAATAAAATAACTGAAAATAGATAGTAGGTACAGATAGAAAGTATGTATTGTGTATTAATAAAATTATAACACAAAAATTTAAGATGAAAATTGCATACCTATATCGTTTCTCTCCTTATCTCCCAGTGTTTCAAAATCTTCTTTAAGGTGTGAGGATACATCCTTCCAAGCCTGCAAAGTTAGACGCCTGTCTTTGTACTCTTCACTTGACTTATCCCACAGTACTGGTCTTTCCTCGACAAGCGTAATTAATAACTCACAGTCAATATTGAATTCTGCGCTCATTGTAATGAAAAGAATACTACATACACAAAACACAGAAAACTTGCACGCTCAAGACCAACTGATGACTGACGGCGAGCTCGCCGGCTCGTGGACACGTAGACATGTTAATGCGTGTCCCACTGAGAACACGGCGCACCGTCCGGCTGCCGTCTCTGCAGAGGGAAGCCGGTGCTACATCCGGCAGCCGGACCGGTAGATTTGCCGTGACGGCTCGTGGACAAACTCTCATATGAAACAATGCATCACTACCAACCCGGTAAATCTACCGGAACGGCGGACGGCGAAAATTCTTGTCGTGGACAAGGGCCCAATTGGAGGCGACTAACTATGGAAAACCTAAAACTTTTTGTAATTGTGAACTGCAACAGAAAAGAAGTTGAAATTTCGGAGAGCTAAATGCGAGTACCATTGGTTCTTTATATTTGTAATGAAATATGTTGGCTTTGTTGTATGATTTGTATTTAAGTATAGCATTTTATTGCAAGTGAATCATTCAGGGATTACATAAAATGAACTTAAATATTGATTTGTTGGTCTTAAAATAATGTAAAATCAAAATAAAAAAAATTATGTGCATATTTTAATGCATACTTCGGAAGTTTTTCATGCATAAATGCATGTATATTTAAGGTATTATTATGGCATAACAATCCGGTCCCTAGTTATGACCGACCGTCAGTCGGCCAGTCTGTCTTGGAATAAAGCAGCCATCTGGGGCTTACGACCATATTTATATTAGTGTAAGACAGTTGCGGTTTGTTGATGTTGGGCGCGCTCTCTGACGAGAGGGCGGGTGCATCGTTTACAATTGCTGCTGGCTTCGTCAGCGCAGTCGCTGGTCCGAGTCTCGAGGGACTCGTGACCACATTTTACTGTCTCAGATTCGAGACTTCCCTATTCGTCCTACAACTCGCAGAGCTACGGTGGAGGTATTCTATCCAGCCTCTACACGGGATGCTACTCCTTAGATCCGATATTTGGATGGGATAGAAGACACCTTACCGAAGGGTTCAGTTAGACTTTTCGTTGGTGGGGTCTATTCGTTGCCGTGGAAATTCAACAATTCGGTCTCTGTTGCTTAAGCACTTCCCTAGGCAACGGTCTATTTATATTTCGTTGCATAGGAATTGCTAGCCGTTGACCAGCAATGGGCATTCTACAGTCCGTCTTTCCTGGCGGCACGCCACAATATATTCAACTGGACACCAGATTTTCATCTGCAGACCGTAAAAACACTACCGATTTTGTTTTTTATGGAGCAGTGGTTAGGGTGTTATTCGCATTCGGGAAGTACCTAATTCGAATCTCGGATGAAGTTTACACCACGTTTCCTCAGTTCCTCCAGGGAAGAGTTCGGATAACACCATAAAGCAAGTCGACATCTTTCCAGCCACATACCTCCCTATTCATTATTGGCTATTATTTTGTTCCCTGTAACTTCAGAAGTGATCCGAAGATACACAGTAGTCTTCTGATAATGTGGGTATGTTGACTGCATATCAATAGTTCGCTCACATGTTTACCACTTGACCATGAACTTTGGAGGGGAAATAACTTGTGTGGAACGTGTTTCTAACACGATCGCAAGCGAGGCCGGTACATTGGTGAAGCCAGTATGAGCAGGGACTTCTGAGGCTTCTGAGCTATATAACGGGAAAACAGCTGTGTGTTGAGGTCACGTCACAGGCTACAAGATGTTAGGCTCAAAAGCGTGTTCTGTGGCAACGAGAAGTTTCTCTACTTCACAGGTAAGCAGACTGCTCTAAGCAACCAAGCTTCATCGATTGTTGTAGCTGAGACATTACATTTATCACAGTGTGAAATGTGTGTTGGGACCCGGATTTCCTCATACTCCTCCATTAAACTGTATTGTGTGTATTTTCGTAACATTGACGGTATGATCATCACTGAAAAGTTATATTATTAACCAAGATAATCTAAAATCAATTTTTGCTTGAAATAACATAACTCTTAAAACACTGGTTGTTGTTTATCAATTCATAAAATGGGAAGGTTCAGTTAAGTAGTGGCATGTACTGCACTGTATGTCCAATTCTGGAAAACTAAAATAAGGAAGGAGACTAGGTTTTCCGATTTTTTTCTGAGACAAAACTGGACAGTTTTATTCTTCCCCATCGTCTTAAGTAATTCTGTGATGTATTTTATATTTTAGATAGCTTCCTTGACTTCGAAACAGGGACGATTATTTTCCAGTCCTGAAAGTATCGGGAACAGATTCACTAGTAATGTTCGAGGGTTTATAATTATTATAATGTTTGAAATAAAAAAAACTTTAATTTGCGTTTGAAAAAAATATTACTAGAACCAGTTCTGTAACCATATTTTGCGTGTTACATTTAGTGGAACTTCAATAAGAATGAAATAAATTTTAATTCGCAGGACAAAACTGTGTGATTTTATATCTAAATCTAACAGTTTATAAAAAAAAATAACAAGGCTAGAAATAAAAGATAGATAATAATATTTAATATTTCCTTAACCGGCAGGCTGCCATGCCAATTTCACGTTTCTTTTTTAGTATTTCTCTGTGTTGGCAACTTTGGCAACATTTTCCTCTGCCAGATTTCATGAGATTTGCAAATTCAGTGCAATTCATGTTATAGTTTAAATAACCAAGAAGTTAGGTTTTTACCATTTGAAGCTTCAGATGAATCCTTTCAATGTTCCAAATGTTCTACACAATATTGTGACGTGCTACATGACGTCCATCGCTGCGCAACGGCTGCAATGGGAACGCACACATCCGCGACAACGAATACGTTGAAATTTTTTAGTTCCCACAGCGACGAATTGAATACCAACATACCGTTGGCAACATCCGTGGCAACGAATGGTTTGAAACAACGGGAATAATGCATTCCCGCGGTAACAAGCATAGAACACGTGAAATCGAACACTGGAAGAAGGTGCTCCCTATTCCGTCCGAGGCCAGGTTATAAAAGTCCAGCTTCTGAGGGATCAGACAGTTTTTGACAGTTCAGTTTGTATTGAGTTTGTATTCGACTCTAGCAGGAAGAGTTCTTCGGCAAGGGACCAAGATACTTGACCGAGAATAGCGGTGCAAGTAATTATAACGTTGAAGAAGAAACGTCCGCAGATGTTATAAATGATCATCATTGTACTCGATAGTGTAAAAGTGAGCGTTCGATAAATCTATTCGTCAAATCCGAGACCCGCGTGAATTTATTTTTCGCGTTACATAGGCAACACACTCCAGGAAAGTTTTGGTGGTGGTACGGCCAGGATATATTGAACAATTTTGAGCAAAGTAAATGTTTCGCATCCTTTAAAACCTAACCCGAATATTAGAAATATTATACTTTTGAAATGTGGCACAGTTCAGATATTTGGGAACAACGATAACAGATCGAAACCTGGTTCAGGAGGAAATTAAGAGGCGATTGAACTCAAGTAATGCTTGCTACCATTCAATCCAGAACCTTTTGTCTTATTGTCTGCTGTCCAAAAACATAAAAATTAGAATATACAAAACTATAATTTTGCCTGTGGGTCTGTATGGGTGAGAAACTTGGTTTCTGACATTCAGGTAGGAACACAGACTGAGGGTGTTTGAGAAGAGGGCGTTGAGAATATTTAGACAGAAGAGAGATGAAGTGACAGGAGGTTGGTGAAAACTGCATAATGAGGAGCTTCTTAACTTGTGCTCTTCTCCAAGTATAATTAGAATGATTAAGTCAAGGAGGATGAGGTGGGCAGGTCATGTAGCACGAATGGGGCGACGAGGAATGCGTATAGGATATTGGTAGGAAAGCCAGAAGGAAAGAGACCACAGGGAAGATCAAGGCGTAGGTGGGTGAACAATATTAGAATGGATCTTAGAGAGATAGGATGGGAAGGTGTGGATTGGATAGATCTGGCTCAGGATAGGGACCAGTGGAGGGCTCTTGTGAACACGGTGATGAACCTTCGGGTTCAATAAAATGCTGTGAATTTCTTGAGTAGCTGCAGAATTAGCGGCTCCTCCAGAAGGGCTCAGCTCCATGGGTAAGCAAGTTAGTATACTTTTGAAAAATTTCCTTTTTCCTAGAGTGACTTACATCGAATACTTAATAAAGGATGAAACTTCAGGAAGGTTACAAAGCTCCGAAAATAACAGGTCATTATTCACTTCCACTTTTAACAAATTCAGTCATCCATATTGAGATTCAGTAAGGCACAGGTGTTCTACAAAATCAAACCATCTTTCAAAACAGTGTGCAATTCGAGTGTACAATGGATGAGAATCGTCGAAGAAAATATTTTGTTCGAATGGAGAAAGTTTCTTCAAATTTTGTAATACATGTATTACATAGAAATTTTTCTTCCACCTCCGGACATATTCTGTTTTCAGTTTATTGAATACTGAATATATTTCGTTGATCTCTATGTAATTTATTTAATGCTTACAATAAAGAGACTCATGACACTTGAAACATGTACAATTACATATCTGGAAGAGCTAGATCAGCAGTGACCTAACAACAAATCTGCAAAGCGTTATGCTCACGTTTCCATCACCTTGACTCAAGAAATAAGATTTTGTTACTGTCAAGTTTTCAAGAAATCTCTCCATAGCAGCAAAGAAGCTGATGAAGCGAGTAGGAAGGTGAGGAAAAACAGAATACTTAGTTTCCTGAAATATGGAGTAGTCTCTCAGCCCTTCAAGTTGCAGTGCACTGGATGATAATTCATTAAACACTTTAACTACTAAAATTTCGACATCAGAGGACAGTTCCCCCCAACCCACCTATTTTGGCAGCATTCTGTCATATAGTGGCCAGCAGTCAATTTGGCATATCGAATGAGTTTATTAATTTCACAGATGCTGATCTATTCCTCCTGTAATTAAGTGCACACTTTTCTGCAGCGTATGCAACTTTTCCCGATAGATCTGCCTTTGGAGATATAGTCTTTAAGCTTATCAGCAGTCGCCTCAGATGCTCAATCTCAATTTTCGCGAAAATCTAAAATTGCTGAAGTCGTATTCCTCTCAAGATCAAAGTATCGAATGGCAACTGGATACATGTTAAAATTGCCTTTATTTGCTACATTACAGCCAACGGAAAATGGATCATTATCTGCATTTTTCAAATCTAACTTTAGTGACGCCTTCAGATGGAGAGGAGGTTTGCGAGCCCGAACGCCGCTATGCTGGCGAGACTGTAAGCTCCTGGCACGGCCTCCCATGCCACATGGGTGAAAGGTAGGGACCAGATGAAGTGTAATTCCCGGTACCCCAGGTTGGGGTTTGGGGCTAACAATCCCACCCCTGAAAATTTACTGTTACGAAGCCATGGATGAGGCCAAGATCCACACAGGGTTTTAGGGCCAGTAAAGGTAAATGGATTGTGATGAGTGATGTGGCAATATATTTTCAGCCTGTGATTCCGTTTCTGTGCGTCCACAGTAGATTTTCGATGCTAATTTAGAAGTGTGAACACAAAGAGAGAGAACAGTAAATTTCGAGTAATGGGACAAGAACTGTGGTGGTGTTTTGAACCATAAAATCACTGATTCTGCTCAGGACACTTATTGTGGAGGCCTGTTCCAGTTGTCACAAAATGCTTGTGAACAGCTAACTTCTTTAAGTTTGCCAGAAATTTTCTTGTTGTGCCGTGAAGGCCGGCTCCCGGTAATATGTTAAAGGAGTATTTAACTTTTTGTATTTTAGGGGAAAATGTTGGTTAGGATAGAATTAGTCTTGGGAAATACTTGTAAGATGTACGAAAGAGGATGTAAGAAGGTTAAGAAACTTCAAGAAATTTCTGCGTATGGAGTTAGACGGCCGTTAGCCTTTGACGCGTCGATGCCTTGTCAGCAGATTGACGTTGAATGTATATCGAACTGCTAACTACAGAATTTACAGTTGAGTGAAGGGAGGGACGTTTGCAGGTAAAAGTGTTAGCCAAATGGTCTAGCAGTAGGAGGGGTGTGTCCACCCTAAGGATCCCAGCCAACCACTTGGGACAAGACGTCATTACAGGCGGGCTTACACCCTCCGGGAAAGTAATGAGCTAGCATGAATAAAGGTATATAACCCGGAGAGCAAATTATTATCGGATTATTCAAACAGTAATTTTGGCCAATTGCGGTCGTAGGCCATGTTGGAAGAGGCACTGACTAGACACCAGGCACGCCATCCTTCTGCAGACTCACCCAAGTAAGTGGAACTACTCTTATCGCCATGCTTAATAATTGTGATATTATTAAAGTGTAATCCCTCCAATGGGACTTGAGTTAGGAACGTTAAAACAAATGTGCAGGGCGTAAGAGTGATCCAACGGAGTGCTGCAGAGGTAGACAGGTGTAATGTAGAGACTGCAGAGGGTGTGTCTAGCGGCAGGGATGTGTAGATATATACCTATATAGTTGTTGAGTAGATCAGGAGATCGAGGGAGTAATTTAGCGGTTTCCTTAGCCCACCCCCTGTGACTGCAGTACAGAAGGTGACAGCGGGATGCCTCCATGCCCCCTGTCACCACGGCATAACAGGTGGCACAACATTTCTATTACGAATTTCTGTTGTCGCATGACGTCCTATTGTTTTCACCGAATCATATGTCAGAGTAGAATTTACGCAGCACATTTTACAATGTCCTGTTTTGTAGACTTCTTTCGACAGCGAGTTCGCCAATTCCTCATTTCGCCACCACTCTTCATGAAAGTGGCACTGTCACCGTCTTTTTATTTTTCTTTCCTATTTGAAAGAGTATGAGGTTATTCATAT